CTTCAGCTCCCCCCCTGCAGTCTCTACCTATGAAAACTGAAGAAGTGTACTTGCACACAGAATCTTTTGCCTTGAATAAAATTTTGTTAGTCTTAAAGGTGCAACTGGGCCCAAAGTTTGTTCTGCTGTTTCAGACCAACACAGCTATCCACCTGAATGTAGAAAAACTGTGGTCTTTCTCCACAGTGAAGAAGAAGAGTTGGTTTTATATCCTGCTCTTTGCTACCCAAAGGAGTCTTAGGCCATTTCTGCACTCTCCTTTTAACCCATGTTCACTGCGGTGTCCTCCAAGCAATTCTGCACTAAAATCAAATTCAACCTTCTTTTATTCCGGTCAGCCCTGTAGCTAGGGAATTCTTTGGGAGGGGGCCTCGCGGGGCCTACCAGCTAATTAAATGGAAGTACAGTGCAGGTGGTAAGTTGGAGCACTTTGGGGGCAGCCCAGGAGGGAGGGGGCCCAGAAGAAACACAAGGGGGCTGGGCCCCGTGGGCCCCATGTTAGCTACGGGCCAGATTCCGGTGTGTCCCCCCCCCCGGTTCTGCTCTAAAATAGAATTCAACCTTCTTTTTATTTCATCCCTGCCCCCCCTTCTGCATTACGTTACCTCTCTTCAGTGCTCAGCCTGCTGTTGCCCTGGATTTTTTTGGATACTATTTTGCTGTGGATTTAAATAATCTCAGCTCAAACACTGAGAAAATCTGGAGTGGCAGGCAAATGAGGAAATGACTCAGAGTGACTTATAATCACCTTCCCTTCCTCTCCCCACAACAGACACCCTGTGAAGTAGGTGGGGCTGAGAGAGCTCTGAGAGAGCTGTGACAGACCTAAGGTCACCCAGCTGGCTTCATGTGGAGAAGTAGGAAATAAAATCTGCAGGATTTGTCACATCCTGAACACTCCTTGTTTGAACTGCTGCCTTCAGGTAGAAGATGTATGACAATTAAAACAAGGACAAACAGATTAAAAAACAGTTTTTATTCGAGAGCTATTATTGCTTTAAATGCTGCATGAAGTTGGAATTTGGGTGACATTGGTGGTTTAGGTTGCAATGTGAACCTTAAGGGAGTTATGGGATGGTTGTGAATGGTTGTGTGAGTGTATATGTGTATGGCTGTAGATCACTGAAATGATTGCACCTTTAATTTCGTTGTACTGTGTACAATGACAATAAAGTATATTATTATTATTATTATTATTATTATTATTATTATTATTATTATTATTATTATTATTATTTTGCCATTCTTAACCACTGCACCAGACTGGCTCAAAGTGGTCAGTGGGGACCAAAGCAGCTTATATTATTCTCTCCTCCACTACACCACACTGGCTTTCATAAGTGGCTGGTGTTGAACAGTAGCAAGCATCCAGGCTTAGTTGAGTCATGCAAGTCATGAGGTATCAAGTCACCCAGAGATTGCTGCCAGACCTAGGGTTGCCAATCTCCAGGCAGGACCTGGAGACCCCCCCTCCAGAATTACAACTAACTACAGTCAACAGAGATCTGTGACCCTGGAGAAAATGTCTGCTTGGAGGGTGGACTCTGTGGCATTATACTATGCTGAGGCCTTTCCCCTCTTCTCCCCTCCCCAAACCCTGCTCTCCTTAGACTTCACCACAAAATATCCAGGAATTCCCCAACCGGGAGCTGGCAACCCTAGCCAGTCCTGGCCCTAATGAATCCTCCATCAAAGGCCAAAATATGCCTGGAAATGGCCCACCCTCTGCTTTTACTCACAGAAACTGAAGCCTGGAATGCTGTTGTTGCCTACTAACAGCCAATGAGGATATCCATTTTTTAAATCTACGGGCAGTGTATTTTTTTTGCTTAGATTTCACATTTTCCTGCAGGTTTGTTGAAAGTTCTGTCTTGCCTGTTCACAACTTCAGTCACCAGATTTAGGTATCCAAATATTAGCTGGCAAGATTAGGGCCCTGTTCACACGAAGGATTTGCCGTGGGAGAGCGATGATTGCATGGCGGATTATCCGGGCGCGATCACACCACAACATCTAGGAACTGGAGCGTACCCGTGGCAAACCCATGGTGTACCGCCGAAAATGCGCGATAAAAAACTACCTGCTCGAAGGTACTAGCAACCAGTTTGCCACGGGCTGCCTCCAGAGTCCCTGGGTGTGATCGCGCCGGCCATGGCTTTTCCCTCCGGCCCCTCGTTGATGCACAGGCGCAGAGGGAAGGACCGTGGTGTGCCACCGACGTGTGGGATCGCATTATGGCGGCTCTAATTGTGGTGGCGCAAAAAGCCCCTCCCCCCCCCGTGTTATCCGGCTCGTGTGACCGGGGCCAATGAATTATTACCTAGAGGGTCTGTTCAATTGGCTTACAAGAACACATCCTGCTTTATTTTGTGTATGATAGTTTTTATAATGTGATGAACATGGTTTCTGAGCATTTCATTCAAAACAACTTATTTATTAACAAAGCAAATTACAGCACTGTGAGTTCTAGCAGTGAACTTGGCATAAGAACCTAAAGCCTATGCTTGATGTGCAGTCTGCCTGGCTAGCTTCTCCCACTAGAGCAGGAATATATTATGGTGATAATACTTGCTCTAGGGATTGTTTCTGATTGTGTCATATATAGAAACAACAAGAAGTGAAGCTAGGCCTTGTTCTGTTCTCTGTGATGGAAAACAGTTGTATTTCATCACTGAGAAATATGAGTGTTACATCCTGAGTTTAATGTAGGATTAGAAAACAGTGGGTATATTTCAAATATGTTAATATACTTTTAAAACAAAAGTTGTTATTATTGCCTTAGATGTATTTAATCAAATTTAAACCTTGGCTGTGTCTGACTGCACTTCTTTGATCTGCCGGAGAAGAGGAGGAAGGGACAGCGTGTCCAGGTACAACCTGATGTTTCCACTCCTATGGAAGGTTGTACAGATGCTGCAGTAGTGCATTTTATTTATGCCTTTCTCTTGTACTGAGGAGGTTAGAGTGATGTACATGGAGTTCCCAGGCAGTCTTGTCTCTGGGAATTTGCCAGGCCTAGATCTGTGCAGCTTTTATGCAGTAGCTTATAGTTTAGTTTAATTTGTTTTTAATTCCTTGGAGTCTTAACATGTTTGTTCCTTGGTGGTGGGAAGAGATCGTAATAGGACATCAGTTTTATATGAATAGTACAATCCTAATGATGTTTACTAGAAATGAGGTCAACTAAATTTAATACAGTTTACTTCAAAGTAAGTAAGTGTATTTCGGATTGTAGCTTTAGTTGTCTTCCCTGCTTCATAAAATGAAATAAAGTAAAAATGTAAAAAAATGTAGTAGTAGTAAAAATGGCATGAATTAATAGAAATCTTCAGTGATGTCACAGAGACAGTGTATGGGTACATTTTGTCCAGTCTGGGCTGCATAACATTTTAGCTAGGATAACATTACTTTTGTGGGAAGTAGCTGTGTGAGGGCTTTATCATACTTGGCAAGCAGCATCTCAGGCTGCTGTTTCAAAATTTGTGATGCAGGGATCTAACTGCAACGATTGTAGTGTGGCTACATTGGTTTATGGCTTAATGCTCAGAATGAAGACAGTATGTTGTCATTCTAGTGGATTAGATATTTATTTATTTTTATTTATTTCATTAGATTTATAGGCCCCCCCCCCATTTGTGGGTTCAGGGCAGGTAACAGCACATATATCTCTGCAATTATTGCAGATTTACAATATTAAAAACATATTACAAATACTCAATTAAAAGTCCATAAAATCATCATCCGTATCATTAAAAACATCTGCCTTTAACAGCAACGTTCCTCAATGGCAAATAATGTGGTCCCAGTCTGGCTTTCAGGATTTGCGGTCACTGAGGCTGGGGAGGCTTAAACAGGTGGATGCCCGCTGCCTCAACTAAAGGCCTGGCAGAAGAGCTCCATTTTGCAGGCCCTGCAGAACTGTAAGAGGTCCCTCAGGGCCCTGATCTCATGGTAGCTCATTCCACCAGGCAGGGTAGCTCATTCCATCAGGCAAGAATATGTAGCTGTAGAATTGGAATAGTCTATGGTGTATCTTTTGTAGTACCACAATCCCATTGTCACACTTCCTTTGTCTTGTCTGTCTTAGTCCTTTTAAAATTTAATATACCTCAGTCTCTTGGGTCCAAACTACCTGATACTTTTCTCCACAAGTTGAGTTGGGATGCTTCTGACCTGACTCACTTTCCCCACTTCTGCACAGCAGCTGCAGATAATTTATTTTCCAGACGACCTCAAGGCCTGATTTGCATAGAAACCATGGCATGGAGAGTTGTGGGGTGGCAGCCTCCCCCAAGTCATTTTCCTAACCCAAAATGGCACCAGGGAGTCTTTTTGCCCTACTGTGAGACTGCAGATGCAGTATTCAGTGTGTGTTCAGCCCTGCAATGGGGTAAAAAAAAAAGTTCCCTGCACTTGCCATGAGGCTGTATCAAATGCAAGTCAGGTTGAAAGAACCTTGACCTGATTTATGGAAAAAAATGTCATGTAGTTCAGGTCTTAATTGATTGCTCTTGACTTGAAAGAAATGAAGTATATATAGAAATATATAGATATGCTGTTTATGTATAATAGATATTTTTAAAACAATAATGGGATTAATTACTGTATCTTAGTATGTATGGAAATATTGTTCTATCGTATTACCTTGATGAACATTGAGTTCAAAATATGGTAGGCAGTTTTCTGTTAATAAACAGAATAGTCATGGATATTATCTTATAGTCATAGTTAATAGCCATGGATGTTTTCTTACTGATTTTTTTCATGCTTTAGAATAGCTGCTTCAGTTATGGTTTGGTAAAGAGGTGGAGAGAGTATAATTATTCTGAACAAATAAATTAGATTTAATAATGCCATGTTTGTTCTTTTAGTCTTTGGCCTGTTTCCATGCTCTGCTTCTGACTCTTCTGGAATGGCAGTCAATATTGATGTGCTGAAATACTGGCTTGAATCCCATGGTAAATTTTCTCTGGTGGAAGGAATTTCTCTCACTGTAACAGAACATCCTCAGCCCTTTCCTTCTTGCTGCAGCCCATATTGATCTGTGTAATGCCGCTTCTGGGGGCATGAGGGAGAAGTCAGTGAAACCTGCCTCTGTTCCATTTGCGGAAATCTTCCACTAGATAGAACCGTGGCTTGTACTAAATCGTGGTTTGTGCTGGTGGGGGAAAAAACCCACCATTAAGAGCAGCTGGTATGTATTAATTATATAAGCCTTTAGGCACTGAGATCATTCCCCTAAGCTGTATCACCACTTAGGGCCCTGAGGACTGTGTCTGCTTGAGCATTTTTGATGGCTGTTTCCGTGTTACAGAATGTCCCTCTGAGAGAGGTGAGAGGGACACCCACTCTTTTGAGGAGTTGTTTAGGTGACCATTTGATAGCCTTTGGTTATGCCAGTGAAACGGGCACTCCCATCAGACAATTGCCCTTATGAGGTCTCAGATTTTCCCTCCAACCGCCCTATGAATTTTCAGTTCCCCATCTGATAACTAGGTAGCCTTTAGGTAGCGTGTCACTCTTCTTATGTGGTAAATAAACGTTTATTATAATGTTGTTGTCCCACCTTATTACCTTTTGATACTTTGTTGGCTTACACCCCAAATAAGGAACTGTGATTGAGGAGGTCTGTACCTCTATACATTCTCCCTCAGAAATAGACACCTAGGCTCACTGAAAGTTGAAATAAAAATCAGATTTATTTGAATAAATAGGCATTGGATGGAAATTATATTTACAAGTGAGCTTTGGTTAGGATTGGTAGACAGAGTTTTAAAAATATATATACAAAACTGCTCCTAGACAACACTAGAGATATTTGGAGAATTATTTTCCCTGTTTTATTTATTTATTTATTTATTTCAGCTTCTATACCGCTCAGACCCGAAGGTCTCAGAGCGGTTTACAGTTGTGCTACAAGCGTAGATAGGTCCACATTTTGTCGAGTGGTGGGGATGCCTACCAGCACCCTGGGTTCGTTGTTCTTGGCTCTCCTCCGCGGTCCACTGGGTCGGCGTGCATTCAAGGTTAGTCCTTCCCCGGCGTTGATCTTTTCCCCGGCGCACGGCCTGCGGCGGCCTGGCTCAGCTCTGTCCGTGTCCGGCTCCGCTGCGCCGCTCACGCTGCCGTGCGCTTCTCCGTTGCTCCGCCTCCTCTGTCGACGGGCGCCGGGTACTGGGTGCAGTTGTCTCCATCGGCCACCAGGGATCGCCGCATCGCGCCGCCACACCACTGTTGCCGCTGCCATTGCCGCCACCATTGCTGGTACCGCCGCCAAACTCCACCACGTCCCCGCAAGAAGGAGGGTGCCCCCTACCCTACTAAGGGTAGGTACCCATTTATCTACTTGTATTTATTTAACTTTCGAACCGCTAGGTGGGTGGGAGCTAGGACTAGGGCCGGGTGCTCACCCCGGCCGCGGTGGGTCTCGAACAGCCATAGGGCTGTTCGCTATGATGTTACCTGCAAGTGTTGTTATTGCTTGCGCCACCGCTCCCTTTTACTTTGTTTTGATGTTTTTAGAGCTATTTCACTGCTTTAACAGGGTTACAGATATTACTAGAGTGCCTACTTTTGAACTTGTCACTGGATGGTCACACAAACTTGAGATTTTATTAAGCTTTAACCCTATGTTTATAGACCAGGGGTTTTCCTATCTGCCCCCTCTTCCTCTATCCAGATTGTTATTCTCTTCTATGTAAGAGCAATAACCTCTTTTGACTTGCTTGAGGGACCTCTGTGCCTCCTCAAACTTTGGTCAGATCCCTATCTTCCAGAAGAACAGTCTCTGTAAACTGGTTAATCAGCTTCCATACTGAGAATGTCTACTTCTCCACTCAAGTAGTGTTTCTGTAATTTCACACAAGGAGATTTCTCTCCACTCCTTGACTAGGTGAGGTCCTGACACTTCTTTGCCAGACGCGCTGTCTTCACCCTAAGTCTGTTATTTGCAGTGACCACAACACACTTGCTCTGTTCCAGACAGGGCTTATCAGACCCTTTTTCTCTTTGTAGTCTTTCACTAGCAGTTTTCAGTTAACTCTCTTGTCTAGCTCCACTCCCAACTCCAACTGAGCCACTCCAACCGACTAACTCCTTCCCACTTGAATTTTTAAACAGCTCAGTGTTCACCGTAAGCTGCATTCAACCAATCAGAATGAGCTCTGTGAGCTGTCAGTCATTTTTCAGCTAGCTCATCCTTTCTCCAGCAGCATTGCCCAAAAGCCCGCAGCTGCTTGCCGTCTTCACAAATATATATTCTGGTTTCTATGCTCTTGATATTCTTTTTATTCTAATGTAGTTGGTTGCTAGTGTGAATCCAACAAGTATTGGAGAAAAGCAGAATATAAATATATTTCAAGTAAATAAATAAAATTAGCTGTATGTTCATCACTCTAGTCATTACATATAGTGATTTCCAGAGGGAAAGAAATGCCTTTTACTATGGTTCAAAATTCAGATATTGCAGCAACTTATAGTTAAGCTTCCTTAATGATGGTGTAACATGATGTCTGATTTGATTACAAGATGTCTGTAGCTTTTGAAGAAGTAGTAAAACTTTGCTCTGACACTCATAGGTTTATTTCTTTGCCTCTGTGAATGTTTTAAATGCATTCAAGTTTTCATTTCACCATGTTGTGTGAGGCTAAAGACATGATACTTTCACAAATTTAGGGTTATTATCAAGACAGTGAAACCTATATTTCTGATCTGACAGTATATTCACTGAGTAAGAAGCCGCAGAAAAGGTATAATGACACTGCAGGAAAGTGGTGCTGAGACTAAGTAATGTTATCAGAGATTTATAATCATCATGCCCTAGACAACAATTGTATTGTATTGTATTGATAAATGTTTTGCACTGCTTCTTTGTCCATGATGTAGCCCAAAATCAGAAAGTTCATAAACAGCTATATGTTTGCATTGAACTGTACATGACAATAGTTCAGGCCAGAGCTGCAATGCAATACAATATCTCAGTGTGGAATACAATAGAACAGGTAAGTTGTGGGGCTTAATGAAATATACCTGTAATTCTGAAAGCAATGTTAATTGAATCAAGAAATCAAAATGTGCTGTTATCTTATCAGAAAAAGTCACCAAAATGTGATCTCTAAACAATATACCTAATTCTCAAAGAGGCGAAATCTATGGCTACTTATATCTGAAGACTGAAGCCATGGACAGACAAGACAGATCTTTCCCCAAACCTGAGAAAACCCCCAGGTGTGCAGAAAAATCTGAAATGTGTATATGGGGGCTGATGGTGAGAAGGAAAGAAGGGAGCAGGAAAAGGGGAGAAGCTATGGGAGCTTTCAGAGAAGGGAAAGAAGGAATAGTGGGGGAGAGGAAAATGAGATGCCTCTGCAAGACTTTGCAGGTGCTCTGCTTCTTTGTTCTAAATATAAGACAAACTGGCAAGAATCTAGTTCAATCCCAGAAGAAATATGTGATATAAAATTATGACCCCTCTGCTTTGAGGCATTCTAGGTCTAAATAACCAGTGGTTCACTGTGATATGAAATCTTGTAAATCATAAAATTGCTTAAGTGTTGGATTTAAATAACATAATTTGAAAAGTGTGTGTTGTTGAAGAGGGAGAAGGTCAGTTCTGTAAAAAATGAATTACATTACTATAGATTGGTACCTTTGGATTTTAAGTCTGAGATATGGTATTTGAAAGCTAAAATAATTAGTGCAGATGGTTGTTACAGATCACTAGTCCTGGAGCATAGCTAGGATTTTATAATCTCCAACTATAATTTCCCCTCTCCCATTAGACGCAAAGAGGAATGTGCTGGTGTATGCCAGCTTGTCAGTTTGTTAGGTTCTCTTCTGGTGATTGGAACATTTGGTTCGTATTTGAACATGCTTGTTTTTACTTTTATATCTAAAGTCACTCTTAGATTCCCATCTTTTTAGTAATAAAAGCTAAAAGGTATCCAATTATAGCACTGGGAGGATTTTCCTTGTGGCCAGAATGAATGCCTAGGACTGTCAAGTGAACTAGCACAAATTACTGTGTTGGGCTCTTTCAAATGTTTGCATTCAGTCCTCCTGTGCAATAGGATCTATGTAGTTTTCAGTTACAGTTAGATAAAAAGTATTTTAGAATGTGTGCTTAAGAGTATTTGCATACTGTCATTTGGATGATACATCCATAGCAAACTCAGAAGGAGTTATCAAGTCCACACTTTCATTGGATCTAATAGGTTTTCAGGTGGCATTGGGGGATTTTCCTGTGGATATGGTTGGTGCTCCTGTCAATAGGGATGGGCACAAACCTAAAAATGCTGGTTTGGTTTGTGCCAAACTGAACCAAAAATGCCTTGAACTGAACTGGCCTGTTCGGGTCCCCCTTTCTCCGGGCGTAGCAAGCTGCAGCCAGGAGAAAGGAGGGGATTGCCCAGGAAGAGTTAAATGACTGGCAGCTTCTCACACTTTGAAGCGGGGGGAGGGGGGAGCGAAACTGACAGGTTCAGTGGCTTGCAGACATTTAAACCTAACAGCTGATGGGTGGACATGCCCCATTGTTAGGCTGAAATGGCTGCGAGCCATTTAAACCTAACAGGTGAGCTGTGGAGCAGTTATAGGTCCAAGGGGGGCAAGCCATGGGGGGCTAGTTTGTTGAATTTCAACTTGTTTGAATAAAGGACCTTGCGACCTCCTGGTTGCTTTTTAAATTAAAGTTGGATGACGTGACAGTTATCCTTTCCTCTATTTACATTCCTCCATCCACTCCTAGTATAATGATTCAGAGATGGGACCACTTGGGGAAAATTGTTGATGACTTGCAGGCTCATTTTCTGGGGGCCTTCTTAGTACTAGTGGGTTGATTTAATGCAACGATTGGCAGTGATTATTATACACTTTCCTGTAAACTATTAGGCCCTGATAATGATGAATTTCTGAGTCCTGCTTGGCATAATAGGAAATCTAAGGACAATGTAGTAAATAGAGGTGGTTTGGAGCTGGCTAAATTACATGGGAAGTGATCATCTCCCAGTCTCCTTTACTGTAGTTTTATCTTTAGAGCATTACCCTATTCCACCACACAGCTTCCCTCTTTCTCAGAATCAAAATAAAGTTTGTAGATGATAGCTGGAGCACCAACTTTAGTGAC